CTCTCACTAGCGGGGGCAATACATTCTGTAGGGACATAGGAGAGGGCTTTGAGTACTGTGGCAGCCTGTTTGAAATGGTCATTGGAGGCCAACATTAGTTTCTTTGAGGCCTAATATTTTTTTCAAAGCATACGTGTGCATGATTTTAACTGTATTAATTTTTTTCTGCTGTTTTAACCTGGTGATCTGTTTTATATGGTTTCATTTTATTTTGTTGCTTGTATTGTTCATTTTGCTTTAATTGTATGCTGCCCTGAGATCTTCTGCCCATATATATATATATATATATATATATATATATATATATATAGTTTGAATATCACCCATATGTGTCTCTGTGTGTATCAATAACATTCAAACTATGTGTGTGTGTGAACAGACATGAATTAGGTAAGTCCACAAAAGTAATTATTGTATATACCCATGTATACGTCTAGAAATTTTAGTCAAAAAAATGACCCCAAAAACCTGGATCGACTTATCCAAGGGTCAATGCAAGTCCTGTACTTTAACTCTTATTTAAAAAGGAACAATCCCTTGGTGAAAGGCAAGAGCACAGTCTGTCGCGGAATCACTGATTCCCTTCTTTTCTCTCATCCACACAATCTTTAGTGTGAACATGATTATGTCTGATGGAATTTTGTAAATTCTTTGGCATTGCTTTTATTTGCTTCATCCTTTATATCTTTTATTACATGCCCCTAGATTTTACCCTCCACTTATCCATGGGTCATATCAAAATCTGTAATTGTGACCTCAAAAATCTGCCCTCGACTTATACATGAGGTCAACCTATAGTAGAGTATATACAGAAGCTTGTGTGCTTTTGCTCATCATTTGTACACTGTTGGTCAGACAGGAACAAAACAAACAACCTGGAAGCAGTGAACTAAGGGCCTTTGCAGACTGCCAGAAATAGTGCACATTAAATTGAGGCACTGCCCAGGCTCAGTGCTAGGGAATCATGGGAACTATATTTTTTTCTGAGACATTGAGCCTTCTCTGTCAGAGAGCTCTGGTGCCACTATAAACTACAGTTTCCATGATTCCCTAGCACAGAGCTAGGACAGTTAAAGTGGACTCAATTTGCACTATTTCTGGCAATCTGCAAAGGCCCTCACTGGGTTTTACATACCTCATTTGGTACAAGTGCTTGACATTATCTGAAAACTAGCAGTCCTGAATTACAGGTAAATGACTCTTCTATTTTATGTTACACTAGTTACAGTAAAAATATACCCATTTTCTTTTGGGTATATGTAACAATTTAACATCGACTAGCTTTTACCACTGTCTGTAACAAAGCTGTTTGTGAACAGATGTGAAAGGCATCAGGACTATATTTTTAGTAGCTTTCTGTGTATTAAAATATGTGCTTTACTGCATGTTAAAAATAAAAAAGGTAGCATTTGAGATTTTTGGATTTTAGATAAGCTCAGAAAGCTATTTTAATCCAGGAGGAAAATGTTTGTTTAAAAAGTCTAATAGAAATCTTAATGACTGTTACCAAAAGCAATTTACTAGGGGGGAAATGTAAGATATTATTTGGTGTAATGAGGCTTTCTACCAATTTTTCTGAAAATGTTTCCCATTCACTACTCAAACAATATTAGGAGCTTCAATTAATTATTTATATAACCGTCACCTCATTAAAATTGTAACTAACTTTTAAGATGTTCTAATTGAACATTTGATTACTACGCAGGTCTCTCATATTAAATATATATATTCTGGGACCATGATTCAAAGAGTGCCTGTATGTACACCCAAGAGTTTGCGTCCAGAGCACCATTTTTTTGCATTCTTTTCATGACATCTATAGCAGCTTTTTATACTGTATCATACATGGCTTTGGAAATTCCCACAGCTTGTCAAGTGGCACAGAGAGCTACTATTATGGGTAAGAAAAGACAAACAATCTCTGCTTATGCGTCTTTGCTTATAAGGAGGTCCCAGTGGGACATTTCCAAATAAAGTCTGTAATACTTCAAACTAAGCACACATATCTCTTTGTAAATCTAACTGAAGCCAATAGGGATTTACTGCAAAGTAAACCCATATAGGTTCAGACCATTAGATGGCCTACCATGCATGCTGTAAACACATTGCTCATCAGATCTAGGTTGTGGTTCATAATCCAATTGCCAAGGTTCTCAAATACATCGAGAAAAGAATGTTGTAAAAAAATAAGTTCTGCAGAGATTAATTTGGATTTAGATTAATGCATAAATCTAATAGGCAAAATATATCAGTTTGTTCATCTGTTCTTGAATGGCATCAGTTTTATGCTGATTATATATTTTTTGATGTAGTCTTAGGCTGTATCCACGCTGCAGAAATAATCCAGTTTTACACCACTTAAACTCCCATGGCTCAGTCTTATGGAATTGTAGCTTGTTGTGGCACCAGAGCTTTCTGAAAGAGAAGCTAAATGTCTTACAAAAATACAATTCCCAGAATTCCATAACATGGAGCCATGGTAGTTAAAGTGGTGTCAAACTGGATTACTTCTGCAATGTGGATGCAGCATTTGGTATATTTTTTTTTAGCAGCTGCAGCTTTGTGGCCATCATATAATGTAGCTTGGCAGGACTAGTAGGTTGCTGATTCATTAGAAGCAAGGGTCTCCAACTTTGGGGTAATGTTCAGCACAACTGGAATTTTGAAAAGTAGTTAATGTATATCACATAATATCACAAAATGATTGCCATAAGAGTGAGATGGCCTTTCACAAAATGGCTACCATAATATATACTCAGCCTGTAACAAAAGATGCTAAAAGATGGAAATGGTCCCGGAGTCTAAATACAAGACAGCTGGGCTGAGCATCTGAAAATAAAACTATTCCTTTGAAACCACATTTTTCTGCTCCTAAAAACCTATTTCACAGAAAGCAGGTTGCTGAACCTAAATAACACATAAGTTCCTGAATATAAGTGAAAGGTGGAAATAGAACAAAAAAATCTGTATACTCATTCCTCTGAAGCCACAATTTTCAGAACTCATCATAGCATCCAGTTCTTTGCATAACAGTTACACTGAACTGGTTTTTCTTGATTTAATTGTTTATCCCTCCCTCCCTCCTTTTAAAATCATTGTAGCATCATAGACATGAATACTTTATTCTTTTAATGTATACCACCCTGAGATGTTTTACTGAAAGGTGCTGCAAAACTAGGTTCCCTCATAGACACATGGATGCATTGGTACAGGTACACGCCCACACAGAGGAAGGGAGGGAGGGAACAGTACATGAACTGCCATAATGTATAAGATGGCCACTATTTTAAAAAAGGCATAAATGAAAGATCCATTTCACATTCACTATAAATGCCTTTCTTCCCACCCACCCCCACTTCTTTTTCTTTTTTGATAGACTGGTCGTTGATCTCTGAGTGCTCTCTGTTGTGATGAGTGTATCAAGCAATTGAAACAAAACTCCTCTCTGCAGATGCTACTGTTACGGAAATTGTGAAAAGAATCCTAAATCAGCGTTATTATGTGGGGACAATGCAACTTCCTCAGAAAATATCCAGCATCTCTATTGCCCATGATTATGAAGCTATCATACTCTTCATGGAAACAACAGCAGTGTGCCTTACTGAGTTGTTATCATTTTGAATCAGCCATCATTCTTCCAAGTGATCTTGTTCCTGTGGCTTTTAATACCTCTTTTCAAAATGACAGGAAGAAATCTAAGTGGTCTTTGGGTTCTTGGAACTAAATGCATTGTTTCTCCAAGGAAGGTATTACTATACTGCATAACATTGACACATCTAATTTGCTTTTGGATATGTTATTCTCACTATTTTTTACTGGCTGGAGAAATAAGCATGATAACATCCTTGATTGCCTGTACTTTCACAATGTTTAATAATAACAGCATTTAATAAAATACTGTTTTATTGCAGCCTTTTAAGTACACCCCAAAACTTAGCCTACTGCACTCAGTTCATCACATGGAACTGTCTTGTAACAAACAGGACAGAATCCCTGTAGAGTGCTCTCTGTGCTTCTCTGGTAGCATGCATGATGAGCTCTGCTTTTGTTCTTCTCAAATTTGTACACTATACCCAACAATCCTTATTCCCAAAGGATACAGTTGCATAGAGGAGCTGTCTCAAACTGGGTCTCAACAGGGAATATGTATCTTCCAGTAGCACTAAAAGTCCACAGTCAAAATTCATTTAGTATAGAATATAGCAATGTTTGTCAGTCTTCTTATTTACAGAGTATGGACACATGCCTTTTCTATACCCTCTCTCCCAGAATTCTGGGAGTTGTGGTTGAGAAAGTAATGTTTCAAAACTCTGGTATTCTCAGAACTGTGAGTTTAGTCCTTCCCCTAAGCAACATTCAGTTTGAGCATTAATGAAGCATAGGAATTAAGCAACAGAGTTGTAAACCCATGTTCCTTTTCAGATCTGCATATCACCAGGCTGCAACACTGTACATATTTACACCTAGGAGTAAATCCTATTGTGTAGAATTGGCTTCTGGACAAATCTGTCTAGGATTACATTGTGGAGTTTCTGACTACTTTCCATTTGTGTTAACCCCATTTTAACAGCGATGTGTGTGAAAAACTAACGGCTTTTGCAGGTTTTCCCCCACCTTTTAAATCCCGTTTCTGCACGGGATTTCACCCATGTGATAAACTCCTTTGTCTCTATCAGTCTATTCCCTATCCACCTCCATAAACATAGGATAAAAGATAAAAGATCCCATTGAAGACTTGGACTTTAATAATTCCCCAGGTTCAAATCCTTCTGACAAATGGGTGCACTTTGGCACCTGCTAAAAATGCTTTAGTGCTTTTCGCATTGTTATATTACCTGGGGCTTCCATATTATTGTTATTTTGTGTCTTTATGCTATTCAGTGTATGGTGACCTTAAGGTGAACCTGTCATGGGTTTGTTTTTTGACAAGTTTCTTCAGAGAGGGTTTCCTTTGAGGCTGAGAGAGTGTAACTTGTCCATGGCCACTTAGTGGGTTTCCATGGCAGAGCTGGGATTTGAACCCTGGTCTCCAGAGTCATAGTCCATAGTGCTATGACACCACTTCAACTGCCATGGCAGCAATCTATGATTTGCAGCTTAGGGTGGAGCATTTAAAATTCTACACCAGAGAGCAGTAATGCCTAATCAAACTAAATCAGGATTCCATAGGGTCTTCCCATGACAATTAAAATGAAATCATCCTGAATCCCATGATGGCTGCCTTGAAGCCCATGCTGAGAGAAACGCAGGATCTAAATTAATTTATTAAATAATAAATAAATAAAATCATAGCACTGTCATTGTATAATGTGAAAGAGCCCCTGCTTAGGCAAATTCTGCACCCACCCACCCAGATCACCTGTATACCTGTTTCCACAGTTAGCTAAGTTGATGTACCAGCCAACATGTGGCTGCCCCACCTTTGTGACATCACAAGGGGTGGTGGCAAGCTGTCTCTTTGCTTGTTAGATTGGGAATGCAGCAACCGCATGCTGAGGCCCCAATCCAGTGCTTTGCCACTCTAAAAAGAGCTGGCAAATGCCGCTCCTTTTTAGAGTGGCAAAAAGTCACCCTCACCACTGTAGCAGTGGCTTTAGGAGCTCCTTTGGCACAGCATGTGTGGACACTGCACCAAGGGAGTGCCCTGACACCTCCTGCCATGCTGTGGGGCACACGGCATGAAGCCGGTGTGAGGGCAGAGTCAGGGTGGCTAGTGTGCGATCACCACACCCCCACTCTGCCCCCAGACCACCTCTTTATACTAGTCTGTCCAGCCACTTGGTCTCAGATTTTGGTGCTGAAATCTTAGGAAATGTGCTCATGCTGAACTGGAAAACTTATGCAAGCCAGTGTGGTTAGAAATTTGGACCAAGACTTATGAGATCTGGGTTGTAGTCCCTGCTGAGCCATCAAAATGACTGGGTAACCTTGAAACAGCTCCTATCACTGAGCCTAAACTGCTCATGCACACACTTTAGAAGAAAAGCAGGATTCAAATACCACCCAAAATGAATAAAAACTTTGGTACAGTGGGCCCTTCATATTTGCTGGGCTTTGGTTTCAGGACCCCCCATGGATAACGATATCTATGGATGCTCAAAGTCCCATTAAATACAGTGGCATAGTAAAATGGTGCCCCTTATATAAAATGGCAAAATTCAGGTTTGCCTTTTGAAAATTATATATATTAGTGATACTTTCAAACTGTGGATGGTTGAATTCGTGGATACAGTAGGCTGACTTTGTAAGATGCCCACACATGAGCTAGGGAGCCATGCTAGTTTGCTTGCCCTAATGTAGCTGCCCCCTTCAACTAGAATGGCCATCAGAGTTTTCTCTCTCTTACTATTATAAGTAATGTTTCCCACTCTTTTTTTCTTCAGAGGAAGGAGGACCAAAGCCAAACAATCTTTATAAATGACAGAGCTTAGCCAAGCAATTCCCAACACAATAGCAGTTTGCAGTCATTAGCTTTGCCTCCTGTGTCCAGCCTCGCTTTGCTTCCATGCAATGGAGATAGTGCCAGTCTCTCTTATCTCAAGCGTATCGCTTGTTGCTCCTTATACAGCCTAAACAAACTCAAAGGCACAGTGGAGTCAGAAATGGCCTATCTTGATTGTTGCTCTTATCACTGCTTTTGCACCTCACTGGGCAGTGTCACAGCAATTCATCCAGTGAAGCTAGCAGAAACTTGAATATTAGCTAATACTAAGTCCTGCAATGAGTGTGTACACCAGCACAGCTCCATTTAACCTATGTGGAATTTTGCAGCAGTTATATTTTTAAATGTCTTGTCCATCAACATTTAGTCATCTAGACAAAATATGACATAGCACATTTTTATATTATTAAAATGCATAAGCAATGCAACATATGTAGGCTTCCAATGATGCATACTCTCAGGAAAGTAATTTATCCTAAGTACAAATAATTGTATAGACATGTCTCTCAATTGATATTCAGAGTAAAGGTGGTTCCACAATGAAAAGATTGTATGTAATCTCCCAAAGAACTCTGGAGAGTTTTATTTTTACCCATCTGAACCTGACACCAAGGGTTCACTGTAAAATGGGCTTTTGATGAGTTCTGACATTTTTCTTTTTTGAGAAGGAAGGTATAGCTGTCCAGCAATACTTTCAAGCACAGCCCAACATCCAGCCAATGAAGGAATGAAGGGTTTTTTTCAGCACTGATCTCCATGTAAGGAAAAGAGGGGAAACCAAACTTTGTTGTTTTATTATTTAACATCCATAGCAGCTGTTAAATTGGGTAGAGGATATGCCATGCTATCATTGGCTCCCCAATCTGGATTGGGACCATATGGAGTCAAAAAGTAAAAGCTTCTTCCACTGCCATCCCAGCAGGCTAACATAGGCCTGGGGAATCTTTGTCCTTCTTGATGTTTTGGGCTACAGCTCCATCACACCCACAAACTAGTATTGCCACTAGTGTATGATCTGTGGAGCCAAAAGTTTCTTGTGCTAGCATTAAGCATTAAGTCCATTTTGGCCCTTAGAAGCTTCAGTTGGTGCCCAGTGCCATGATGAGTGTCCTGCAAGAGCTTGGGAGGAAGGAGTATATTTTATCAGAAACTGCACTACCTGTCTCTTTGCTTCTGGATCAGTTCAAGCTACTCATACCTTTAAACCCTCAGAAACTCACATTTTTTGTGCTTTTGGTGCTGAATACATCTAAGTCATGAAAGATAAGCCAACAAAGACAACAATAACCAACTAATAGTGCATTTGGTGGATGGCAGCTGTAACGAGACTAAAAGTTGCAAAAATGCAAGCACAAAATCAAGTGCAACAACAAAGAAGACCATCATTAGAGGTAAATAAAATGTTGGAATAAAATATGATGATTCTGGAGGAGATCAAGAAGATAAGATCAGATATGAAAAAAGATAAGGCTGAATTGAAACAAGATCTGAAAGACACACGAGAAGAACTGAAGAAAGATATAAAGACAGAAATGAAAGAAGTGGTAAATGTGGTAGAGAAATTAGCGACGGAACTAGCACAAGCAAAATCAAAGATAAATGAATTGGAAAAACAAAATGAAGAATTAAAAACCGAAATTCAACACTTAAGGTAAAAACAGATCAGGGAAACAGAAGAAAGAATAAAGACTGAACAAAAACCTAGAGAAAGATGCCTAAAAATCAGAGGATTAAGTGAACAAAAGGATGAAAATCTATATGAGAGATTAACACCACTGCTTGCAGAGTTTATGGAAAGAGATGAAGATGAATTTCATTTTGAGATAGACAAGATGTATCGGATCAACTCTTGGGTAGCTAGACAGAAAAATATACCAAGGGACATAGTTGTATTCTTTGTCAGGACTCAAGTAAGAGATCAACTCTTAAGAATGCATTTTGGGGAAAAAAAGAATAGAAGGATAGGATTATTTAAGGACTTATAAGGAGAAACTCTCAAAAAAAGAAAAGATTATATTCAATTGATGAGGATCTTGAGAGATCAGGAAAGCAATTATAAATGGGAATACCCAGAAGGAATATCCTTTATTTATGAACAGAAAAGATATAAAATCAATCCAACTATGAAAATAAATGACATGATAAAAATCCAAGAAAGAGATACACATAAAGATCAGGATATAAATGTAGAGACTTTTACAAAAGAAACTGCTGTAAAAGACAAGTATAAAAAAGCGATGAAGATATATTAAGAAAAGATATGAGTTTGGAAAAAAGGAAGAAACATCAAAGAGAAAAGGAGTTACATCTAGCAGAAGAAAGTAGAGAAAGAATGGATAGAAAAAGAAGAGAGAAGACAAAGATCTATAAGGGAGAGTCAGAAGATATATCATCAGAAGGAGAAGGAGAAGAAAAGGAGGAAGAAGAACAGGTAGAAGATGTTTAAGAACACATATCTTATTACCTAGAACGTTAAAGGACTTAACTCCGCTCAAAAAAGAAAGAAAGTCTTTCACTATTTGGGAAAGACAAAAACGGAGATAGTTTGTCTTCAAGAAACACATATAAGCAATAAAGATACAGGATTATTAAAAAAATAATAAATTGGGAACTCTTTTTGTCTCTTCTTCTGAGAAATGAAAGAAAGGAGTGGCAATATATACAAAAGATACCATAGTGGCAAAGTAACTATTTGCCAACAAAAATGGCCACGTTATTGGTGTAGAAATCAAATGGGAAAATCTATATACCGTATTTTCCGTCGTATAAGATGACTTTCTAAGCAGGAAAA